TTAATAGCTTATTGTCTTTGCTAACGTGTTAATAGCTTATTGTCTTTGCTAACGTGTTAATAGCTTATTGTCTTTGCTAACGTGTTAATAGCTTATTATCTTTGCTCACATAAATGTGAGGATGATTAAAACATTATAATGCTTATATGTAATCACTGTAAAGATGAAGTATAACCTAAAATAAGAGTAAGATATATTGATTTGGGATGTCGTCGAATAATTATATTCAATATACATGGAACAATCAGAATATAAAAATTACAGAATTTCTAAGTAAGAGATTCAGAATAAACATTAGAAAAAGAAAATTGAAGCATCTACTTACAGTTTTTTGAAATATGTAGAAAGCTAAACAAAGTTGCTATTTGTCTGCACCATCTGACCTTTCGTCTGTTTAGGTTTATATATAGTAGTAGATGAGTCCTACCAAAACCAAACTATTTCTCGAGAATTACTCGGCTTCCCACTACAAATATTAGTCAATAGTCAGAGACATTGATGTTACATGCAATGTTTTTTGTCTTACCTGATTTCTCATAACACTTTATAGTGGAAATTTAATATATTTTGATCTTATGTAGTAGAATTTGTTCGGGATACCCTTATTTTACCTCTTCCTTACTTAAGAGACAGGCGCGTTTTCGAATCCCGGCAAAGCCGATAAATACACATTAATTAATATCCCATTAAGTAGCCACTTTTAGACATTCCATGTGGTTAAATAGAGTTTTGACTTTGATTGCTAATCAATACGTATCATAATTAGTACAACTAACGTGCCTTTTAATATAGAAAGAAGTCAGTGCAACTTATTGGATGAGTTTGTGAATTTGAAGTTAGTTTCGCTTGACCCTGCATGTCCAATACTATGATGATACAATTGTCATTCAAAGTCCCAATATTTCGGTATCCTGGCCTTCTTCAAGGGAGAAAATTAATGGAGAATTTAAGTTGCGTCCATCCTGTTCTTCTGTAAAGAGCGTCACTTAAATTCACCGTTACCTTTTGCCCTTGAAGTAGGCCAGGAGGCCGAAATATTGGGATTGGAAGTGACAATTGCTTATCCTTATGGTATCTATTTGGTATAAATCTTATTTTCAAAATGTTAAATATATTTGAGGTATCATTATTGTCTCAGTTCATACTAATCTTATTAAAATACGAAACAAAATGTACTAGTTCAGATGTTTGGAACGTAAGAAACATCAGGTCGTGATAAGATGTACGTTAACGGCAGGGTGTTTAATGGTTCTACGGAGGAATTAGACGAAGAACTTGGTTTTCAAGAAAGACATCAGACAGAATCTAGACTTAACCGTGGTTCTTACAGAGATGCTGTGCAGGCTCCGCTCATTGACTTTACTACACCGAGTAACAACAGAAAACCTAAACGG